TTCATCCACGCGTGCTTCAAGCTTGCGCAGAAGGTCACTCGCGCGAGCGGTGTCTCTTCTGAGCGCTTCCACATCAGTACGTAAGGAAATAATATTTTGGCAGTGCCCTTCCAGATCAGTCATGCGTCTACTGAGATCTGCTATAGATTTATCTGTTGATAGCAAATGGGACTTAAGGTCCTGTACCTGACTGATTAATTCCGTCTGACCGGCAGACAATTTCTGCAGTTCAGTTAGTACAGCATTAGAAGCAGGACCCGGATTGCTTTCAATATCGCCCGACATCATCAACAAGGCACGAATAACACGAGAACACTCAAGTGCAACAAGAACGCAGCAGTGTGGGCTCGGCAGCTGAAACAGCAGGTAATTACTAGACTTCTTAGCGAGAAGACTGTAAGTTTTACTAACCTGCATGACAAGAGTGAAAGGATTAGCGGTCTGCGTTGGTGCACAGCCGCCGAGCCCACACAGCGCCGCCGGCAAAGGCCGCTCTTTTGTAGTCGACACAGGCATCGATGCCGATGCTGATAGCGTCGACCAGGTTTTGTCGAGGACCATGTAGCTGACCGGTGGCGCCGGAAGGGATCCAGATCTGTTGCGTGAGGTGAAATCCAGTGGTTCCAAGTACGTTGCGGTTGATAAGCCTGTGTCGAAGACCAAGAGGGCGTGACAGGTAAGCGTGCCACTTTCGCTGGAACGATGTTGATACTGCAACGGTGTGGTCAAGGAAGCTGGCAGGAAAACGGAAAGCAGTATGCGCAGGAATGCGCACTGAAACACCTGCATGACAAGAGTGAAAGGATTAGCGGTCTGCGTTGGTGCACAGCCGCCGAGCCCACACAGCGCCGCCGGCAAAGGCCGCTCTTTTGTAGTCGACACAGGCATCGATGCCGATGCTGATAGCGTCGACCAGGTTTTGTCGAGGACCATGTAGCTGACCGGTGGCGCCGGAAGGGATCCAGATCTGTTGCGTGAGGTGAAATCCAGTGGTTCCAAGTACGTTGCGGTTGATAAGCCTGTGTCGAAGACCAAGAGGGCGTGACAGGTAAGCGTGCCACTTTCGCTGGAACGATGTTGATACTGCAACGGTGTGGTCAAGGAAGCTGGCAGGAAAACGGAAAGCAGTATGCGCAGGAATGCGCACTGAAACACCTGCATGACAAGAGTGAAAGGATTAGCGGTCTGCGTTGGTGCACAGCCGCCGAGCCCACACAGCGCCGCCGGCAAAGGCCGCTCTTTTGTAGTCGACACAGGCATCGATGCCGATGCTGATAGCGTCGACCAGGTTTTGTCGAGGACCATGTAGCTGACCGGTGGCGCCGGAAGGGATCCAGATCTGTTGCGTGAGGTGAAATCCAGTGGTTCCAAGTACGTTGCGGTTGATAAGCCTGTGTCGAAGACCAGGCTTATCCAGACATACGACATACGAGGCCAGACATACGAGGGATGCGAGACATACGAGGAAGACCAGACATACGAGGGACGCCCAAGCCTCGCCATAAGGAGCTTCGCCCCTAAAGGAAAACGAAGTGGCCGCAAATCGGGATTCTCACACCAGCAACTAACAGCAACCTTTAAGAAGTACTAATTAAAACTTACCTCAACAATAAAAGCAGAGGTTCAACACAAGACAAGATTTACTTGAGACACAAAAAGTGGAAGCAAATACCGTATTTTCTCGCATATAACCCGCCCTCGCATATAACCCGCTCCCCTAACTTTGAACTCCCCGAAAAAAGAAAAAAAATCCTCGCGTATAACCCGCATGCTTAGCTTAAAAAAAACTGTTTTGGGAAGTCACAGTCACAATCTCGTTTACAAAAGAACTTTATTTCGAAGCGATCGCCGCAACGTTGACGGCGCCGATTCCCGTTCCTTCAATCATCGCCCGACTCGCCGCTGTCGCTGCTGCCATCCGAGGCTTCGTCGCCGCTCTCGAAGACGCAATCATCTTCGGTGCCATCCAAGCAATTGCTGATGGCGCACTTTTTGAAACTCTTGCGCACCATGTCGGCCGGAATCGCCCCCCACGCATCCACGATCCACTGGCACAGCAGCGCAATGTCTGGCCTCCGCACGCGCCCCGTCGGTGTGAGGGCGTAAAGGCCGTCGGCCATCCACTCGGCATACAGCCGCTTCACGTGCGCCTTGAACGGCTTATTGAGGCACACGTCCAGTGGCTGTAGCATGGAAGTCATGCCACCGGGTATGATCACGAGGTCGGTGCGGTGGTCAGCGAGGCGCGCTTTCACTGCGTCAGTGCAGTGGCCTCGAAACGAGTCCAACACCAGCACCGACCGCCGTGCCAACATGGCGCCCGGCCTCTTCTCCCAGATCGTGCGAAGCCAGTCACAGACGAGGTCACCATTCATCCACGCGTTATCTTCGGTTCGCACAACAATCCCTGGTGGCAGTGGAGTGCTGGGTAGCGTTTTGCGCTTGAAGATTACATACGGGCGCAGTTTGGTACCGTCCGCCAAAGCGCACAACATTACTGTGCAGCGTAGTTTGGTGTTTCCGCCCGTCAGTACGCTTACAGATTTCGAGCCCTTTTTCTGCAGAGTGGTGTCCATGGGCATCTCGAAGTACACGGGCGTTTGATCGGCATTTCCCACCTGGGAGAGCAAGTAGTTGTGCTCCTTCCGCAGCCCGATGACGTAACGTTGATAGCTCAACAGCTTATCCTCGTAGGCGTTGGGAAGCCGCTGGCACATAGTCGTTCGCCGCCGCATCGAAAATCCGTGCCTGGCCATGAATCGCTGGAGCCATCCACGGCTCGCACGAAACTCGCGTGAGATGTTCATCTCGCGGGCCAACCTCAGCGCTTCCATCTGCGCCATCTCCGTTGACACAGCGTGGCCGCGACTCCTCCGCTCCTCAATAAATTTGACAAGCTGCGTCTCAAGAAGGGGGTACGCACCAGTCTTCGGGCCGCGAAATGCTCGCTTCTGCTTGTGTGCACTTTCGAGAGAGGCCTTTTTTTTTCGCCAGTCGCGAATGCAGGACTCGTCGACATCGTGCCTCCTCGCAGCAGCTCTGTTGCCGATTTCTTCCGCAGCAGCTATAATCGCGAGTTTTTCTTTCGCGGTGAAAGATTGTCGCCGAGACCCACTCATGGTGCCTCACCAGACAAAGCTGACCAACGGTGCAAACTGGCCACACCTGACTCTGAGACAGACGCTGTCAAATCGCTGTTGTGACGCTGTTGACCAAATCAAACAAAGCACGCAAAAAGTGAATAAACACGCTACGGACGGGATCTGTCTATGGCCTATGTTGGCTTTTATTGGCTTTGCACCAGACGATGCCGATGGGGATGCGGACTGCACGGCAGGCTATGCATTGCCGTGAAGCCGACCTCTGCTTCCGGATTATTCGCAGATAACCCGCACCCCCACTTTTCAGGCGATTTTTTTCAATTTTTGGTGCGGGTTATATGCGAGAAAATACGGTAGTCGAGAATTAGAATACCATACGCAAAGCTTGCGGACGTTGCGGGCGTAGCGGTAGCGTTTGTCGCTCAACAGGAGCCCTCAAAAGGTTAAGCGTGGGACGTCAGTATTGGCCTCATGGCTATTTAACAGAATTGTCCGCAGTTTCCTTCTTAAGAAATAAAGTTTACCATCAATCCCAGTTTTAGGCATACGGCAGGCCCAACGCGCCTGTGTGGCTTTCAGCAGTTGTCACCAGTAGCGAACACAAAACTCGTTGACTCCGAAAGGCCTACCAGCAGCCTTGTTGCCATTCTTTATTGCATGATCTATCACTTGCAACTTGAAAGCAGCCGTACAGCTTCAGTACCGCCTCATAACTTGACAAGGTTACCGACGCAACATACACAAGACGCCGCAACGCACACTGGCCACGTCGGCTTGGCTTGAATTGGATTGAATCTCCGTGCAATTGTAGCAATTGTACGCTTGATGCTTAACAGATGGTGCCAGATGGCGTGTGCTATCATCATCAGTGGTTGGAAAGAGCAGACGACATTATTGCAGCAGTTTTCGGGGGTGCGATGATTACTCGAGGAAAAAAAGAAATATTATTGTTGGGCGATGTGGGGGGTGCGAGAATTATGAGAGTGTGAGGATTACGCGAGTAAATACGGTATTAGCAGTCCGCACGAGATTTTGTAAAAGTTTATTAATCTGAAAAGTTCGTTAATATGGGGTTCGTTTTACCGAGATTTCACTGTATTTGCGACGTCTATGTTACAAAGGAACAGCGGGAGACAACCTTGATATAATGAACTTTTGTCACGAACAATCTAGGAATTTCACTCCACATTTAAGCATTTTGATACGAGCATGTATCATGCTCAGCTGCCCCACCGTCGACTCGACGAAGCGGCGGCGTGGGTGAGCTCGAGGCGCACAAGCGGGCTTACACCCTACAACCCAACGTTGCCGCCATTCTTGTCGCCGAGATCACATGCGCGGGGGTTGAACGACGCTGCGCTGAATGCAATGCAACGAATGTAATAGCAAAAAAATTAATGTTATAAGAAGTAAAAGTGGCAGCCAACTCTTTTGGATCCGATATTGCGGTACTCCTACAAAACGCTGGTGTGAGCAAATACGGCCGATCCAGGGAGAAGTGCTCTTTTCATACAGTCTCTTCGTGTTCAAAGTGCACTGATTTACTCGCCGAGATAGCAAGCGTGCCAGCAGTCATGACCGCCCTTTTTAAAATCCAAGTTCATTATTGCTCCAAGTTCATTATTTTCGTACCGCAGCTCCATATAACGAAATCCTCTTGATAAAAATTTTTTTCCGGGAATTTATCAACATCGTTATATCCAGATTGAACTGTAACCGTCATCAGCAGTCCTTTGCAGAGTTGAAACAAATCTGGTGGAAAGGCATTGTGCAATGAAATTTTTTTAGCTAAAGTATTGGCCAAGAGTGTATTACTCCTAAGCGAGAGAACATCAAAACATGAACATGCTTAGGTGGTTTCAGTTCTCAATCCAATCCTTACAAGGCACAAATACTTACTCTAGGAACTCTCTGATCATATTCTCTTGTGCTGGACCAGGCTCCTATAGTGTCCCTGTTTTCACGTTTTTCACGCTGCTGTTTGTCCTCAAAGTCTCTCTCTCTGCAAAAGAAAAATATGCAAAAGGAAATGTTATGCTTCCATTTTCCTTGAATAGACCTGCAGCATACAGTGAAACCTCGTTAAGGGGGGGACGCAAGTCTTAAAACGATCAAAAATGGCCAAAAAATTGATATTTTGTGGGGCGTTTATACCTCTGAGCACTCACTCTCAAATTGCTACAAATTCGATCAGGAAATGCAATGGGCCTTCAAAGCGCCCCCCGCAGCAGTAAAATGCCCCGAAAATAACGAAATTTGTTCAAACTTCGCACGCACGCCATGAGTGTTGCAGCGGGCCGAGCGCCACCTTCTTGAGGCAGATTTGAAGCTATTTCCTTTGTGCGTAATTTACGCCATCGCAATATGACGCCATCTAAGCAAAATGGCTGCCTTCGTGGGTTTTTTTAGGCCATTCCCACGTTGCCAATTGGCTCTCACACGGCACGTACTGAGGCTCCCATTAGCTGACATGGCCGGCGGCGTACCTTTCAAGAGTACCAAGACAATGCAGGGTGCGCATGGAACTGCGCACCCTCCATTGTTCCACACTTCCCATTAGCTGGCGTGATCGACGCATTTTTTTTTCTTCCGCGCGTTCAATGTCACGGCTGTCCGATTGTGTACGTCTACTTTTGCACTCATGCATGTTTCTCGACGTACAGTGTTAGTGCTTTGCACCAGTAGTTTATCCACGCGTGAGATGTTGTGGTGTACACGTATCCCGAAGGAGTACGGCCACCAGCGTGGGTCCGGTCTTAGCGAGCCGCAGGGCACGCGTTAACCGTCGCCGTGGCGAGAACACGATACTGCTCAAAGTCGCAACACTTTATTGTGGCAACACCAACGCAGTACAGCCCGTTGCAAAAGGCGCGTCGGGAAAGCAAATAGGCTTATTCACGCCACGGGCCCAAAGTACTACACAGGGTGCCACGAGCACGTCTCCGCGGTAAAGGTGATCCATGGAGACACCGGGACCAAGGCCCGGTTGCTCGAGCGAGGGCAAAGGCGCTCGCGTTGGCTTCGGAGGGAGACGGGTCGGCGTAGCCAGGCCACGCACTAGGACACCGTACCACCCCTCGACCGTGCGTACGCAGCGGGGCAACAAAAGGTGAGCGTTCGCCTCGGGCGCGAGGCGCCGTCAGCGAAGTCCGACGAGCCCCGAGTGACGGGAGTCGACGGACGGAAAAGATTGCGTGGTTTCACTGTTTGCCGTCCCGGAGAGTATCTGTCTGCTCCTGACGGAGCGCGCGAAAACCTCTCGGGAGCCTCCGCGCGCGGCGCCACAGTCAACATTCGCTACCGGGTGAGGGAGTTAAACGTCACTCCGCTCACCCACCACGGCAGACAGCAAAGGAGGGCAGACATGTCGGGACATGAGAACGGCAGAAAAGGCGGCAAAGCCCGCACAAAGACAGCGGGCTAGCCTCAATTCCCACAATGTCCAGAAACTCCCGTCTGAAACCGTCCTCGCAATGAGCTTTTGGATGCAGTCAAAAGCAGACTTGGAACAAGAAGGCGCCGGCTAGAAGTGCACTGTCAGGGTGAGAGTTCGGTGGAGTCTGTGCCCATCAGGCACCATTACGTTTACTATCTCCTCCGTGCGCAGAATGATCGCGCGAGCAGTGGAACGAAGATCACATGTCATGTTCAGTTTACGAAGGCGAATGAGCGAAGGGTGAAGGTGTGTCCGCTTGGTTTCGCTGAGATTTTGCGATCGCGAAATCTATGCAGTTCCCTGCCCTGCGCTGTCTTGGGATACAACCTTCCTGCCTTGCCTCGTAAATCTTGCGTCTTCCTCCCGAACCCTGTTTTCCAAAATGACCATGGTCTCCCACTCTCTTCCGTTCCCATGGTATGCAACGGGCAGTTGTCGAACACCTTTGAAACAACGTGGGTGCCTTGATTTTCCTATTACAAACAGTTTCGATTTCTCATCTCCTGCCATGTTTGCACCCACCAGCACAGTGATGCCATCTTTACTGCGTTTTCCTCCACTACAGGCTTCGCTTTTGAAGGTGAAAGTCTTCGATAAAAGCGGCTTACAATAAAGACCCATCTCGTCGACGGTGAAGACGTCTCGTGGCTCGAAGCTCATCAAAATTTCCTTAAGCCGCCACTGTTGCCAGTCGGTGCAAATGTCCCTGTTGACTGCACCACTCTCACCCGAGATTGCTTTAAGACTAGGCCACGGCGTGTTTTGAAGCAGCTGAGCCATCTGTCGCTTAGGACAAAGTTCTTAACACCCCTTTGCATGGTGATCTCTCGAGCTTTCTGCTCGAGAATCTGTTCGCTTATGGGCAAATTGGAACTCCGTGCACGCTTGAACCACTAAAAAAGAACTTCTATTCTTTTTAAGGCGTCATCCGCATCCGCATCCAAATAGATGTAAGATCCCGTTTTTAACAGTGCCTTCAATCTTTTCTCTGTCTTTCCAGATAAGCGATAGCACCTATTTCAAGATGCATTTTTTCGCCACCCCCGTCGTGGGCAGGCCGCTTCGATCGAGCTCCTGAAGAATTCGCAGCTTTTTTTTCAAGCGAGAGTGCATGGTGCGGCCGCTTCTTTTCCATTGGGCTGAAATAACACCGTGATCCTTCACACTTAGCCGCACAAATAGGCCTAACGCACAGTTGGCTCATCGACTCAGCTCCCACAGCCCCAACGAAGAATGGCTACTGGATTGGCTTGTCTCGATCTCGAGGTGTTGCCATGGTTGTGAGACTACATTAGGCATGAGCTAGTCTATGCTGTGTATAGATTTTTTGACTAATAAGCACTGTTTCGATTCACCGATGAATTTTACTGCACAACACATAGAAATCCAGCCATATGAGCCCGTTTAGTTCCGTTAATAAGGCATTTTCGTTTAAGCGAGTTTCGTTTATTGGGAGTCCACTCTACTTGAGTTAACTGTACTCTGGACTCTTGACATCGCGATCATTCCAAACTATCCCACTTGTGGCACATACAATGTCGACAATAACCTTAATTTCTCGATTAGCAGAGCCCTGATGTTGATAATATTGAAGTTTTGGACGTGTTCATTAACTCTTATGTAAAAAGTTTTTTTGCCTTCAATTTAACAAAACAGGTTTAGATATTGAACATTAGATAAAAGAATGAAATTACGAGAAACAGATTATACTCGCTCTGAAAAGCTTGAAACCATAAAGATTGTCCTTCTAGGCAAAAGTTGACCATACTGACACACAAGTCCGAGCAAATGCCTGAATTTCAACAAATCAAAGCCAAACAACACTCACTTTCTAAATGAATCACCACGTGAGCGGCTCTCAAAAGCAGTTTCCTCTTTGTCAGGCCTTTTTGAAGGGAAATCCAACCGCTGATCATAGCTGGCAGCGGCCCTACCAAAGTCAGGAACCTGGCTACCATAGTACACAGGTGCCACAGATGGTCGCCAGTTGTCATATGGTCCACCTAAGAGATAAAATTAACTGAAGTTATTGCAAATCATACAGCCACAGGGTGATGAATATACAGTCCAACTCTTCAATTCACTCAGAAGCGATAGAAATCTGAATTAACCGGGGCTACAGGGTTTGAACTAATGGGGGTTGCTTTGATTAGTAGTGCAGAGCACAATACAATGGAGCTCCTCCCTACACAGCACACATTACGTTCTCAGGTGCTACGCTTTCCTGGCTGCTTAATACGAGGCAAAAATATTCTTCTGGCCTATTCGCACTCTGGTTATTTTCTCCTGTGTTGCCCCTCTCAGCCATGCCAAAAAGAGACAGAAGGGTGCTTATTCGATAGTGGATACTACTCTCACCGTGTCCTACTAAAGAAGGAGAGACCGTATTCTGCAAAACCTGCAGGAAAAAAATTGCATGGCAAATTTTAATTATTGGAGATATTGTAATAAAATTAGGTGTGTATATGTATTTCTTCTTGCTATTTTCAAAGAATATAATTAGTTTTAATGTACATCAACCAGTAATCAAATTGTGAGAACATAAGTGATATTTGATTATGTAATCTCTTACGAGTCATTAAGGCACTTTCCCTCAATATTTTTAGGTTCTGTTTAGAATGCAGCTGTAGCCAAAGACCTGCCATGTGGAGCTATGCTATTTATGTTGTCATTGAAATACATCATCATATAAAAATTCTCATTTGCACTGATGCTCCATAATTTCGAAATTCGATTAGCTCACATTATCACTCAAAGTTTTATATGTCCCTCTTAGCCACAAGAAAATAGCATAGCTCCACAGTCATGTTTCTTCTGTAAGGCTGGTCAGGTTGGCAAAAAATGTGAAACTGAGAAATTTGCATTTAAAGTTTCAACATGCACTGCAAAATTTCTATAAGGAACTTTAACCCCAAATTTTATACACACATTCCCCATCTATTCCTCTGTAAAACAATACAAAATGTGCCTTATTTCACCCTAGGAATCATTTCTAAAAAAAAATTTTCCAAAGTGGAAAGCATCATCAGAACAACCCCACCATGACAAGCTGTCGCGGGGTTCAGAAAGAGCTATGGGGTATGAGCCTCAAACGACTAGCTGTTGGGTAGCATGCTGTACTGGGTAATTAAGTTGCTGAGCCAGTAGGATTTACTGTCGATGTTCCGATTTCCCGGACCCTCAAGAGACCATGAAAATGTCCGGAAAATCTGGCATCGATCCGGAAAAACGAATGCAGGCAAAAATGCATCTTTTTTTTTTTTACAGGTATATTTTGCTGACGGAGAGGGTTACGGCAGGAGAACAAGATTCTCGTTGCAATCTTACATCGCTAAGGTGGCTCTGAAAAGAGCCAATTATTATATATATATATATATATTGTTACGGTTGAAATAAAGGATAGGTGGATTTATTTACAGGGTGAGGATGAAGTTCGGCAGTCTCGGTAAAGATGGAGTCCTCAGGCCGCACCAGCCAACGTCGTCTTCCTCTTCTACCTACCCGGCATACTACAGCCCGGCTCGGCTCATACCGTAGCAATCCCCGGTTCAGAGACGAAGCCCGCTGGGCGAGTTTATGTCACTGGAAGGATTAAACTTCTTGAGGCGAGCCACGTGCACCAACTGCGTTCGATTTGACCGACGAGAAGGTGTCGTCAAACGTGCCACAACGTACGTCAAGTCAGTCAAGGAATCTACAATGACATAGGGGCCTGTGTACTGCGGTAAAAACTTCTGACATAAACCAGGTTTTCGTTGGGGGGTCCACAACCACACGAATTCACCTTTGCGGAACGAAATGGTATCATGGCGTTGATCGTATCGTTGCTTGGAGCGATCTTGTGATGCCAGTGTGTGCAAGCGAGCAATTTGGCGGGCTTCTTCAGCCCAGCACAATGTTTCGGCCACGGACTCATCGGTATGGAACTTAAATATGAGGATTGTATCAAGGGAGCTGCGTGGTGATCGAGCGTAGAGCAAGTAGAAGGGCGTTAAGTCCGTGGTCTCGTGCTTCGCTGTATTATATGCATAAGTAATAAATGGTAAGATCTGATCCCAGTTTTTGTGATTGGACACGACGTACATTGGGAGCATGTTAGTGAGAGTTCGATTGGTATGTTCTACAAGACCATTCGTCTGGGGATGGTATGGTGCCGAATGTCTGAACTGTGAAGTGCAGAGGCGAAGCAATTCTTCCACAGCGTCCGCGATGAATTGGCGACCACGGTCACTGATGATTACTTGAGGTCGACCATGGCGAAGAACAACGGAGCGTAACAAAAAGGCAGGGACGCCATCAGCTGTAGAAGATGGTGGCACAGCGGTTTCGGCGTATCTGGTAAGGTGGTCGACGCACACTATTATCCAGCTGTTGTTGTTCGAAGATCGCGGAAACGGGCCCAATAGGTCGATGCCCACTTGCTCGAAAGGCGTAGTAGGCGGTTCTATGGGGTGAAGAAGGCCATGCGGTGCACTGGTAGGTCGTTTATGACGCTGGCAGTTCTCGCAGCTCGAGACGTAGTGTTTCGTAAAATCTCGCATTTGGGGTCAGTAAAAAGGCTGCTGCACTCGATGCAGGGTGCGAATGAACCCAAGGTGTCCCGACGTTGGATCATCGTGCATAGTACGGAGAACGTCACATCGAAGACTTTAACTTTAAGGTACAACCCAGTAAATAATGTGCGCCGGTTGGCAAGTAACTCGTTTTGCACAAAAGTCCATCACATATGCGAAAGTGACCACTGCCATTGAGATTCCGAGCGTCAACGAACAAAGTGTCTAAAGATAAATCATTCAGTTGTTCTCGTTTGAAGATATTGGCGTCAGGAAACGTGTGAGAGACCGTAGCAAAACAGATGTCGAGGGTATCTGCACTGTCCTCCGTCGTGGTCATAGGTAGGCGAGAAAGGCAATCAGCGCCCGAATGACGTCGTCCACTTCTGTACGAAATGCTGAAGTCAAATTCTTGAAGGCGTAAAGCCCATCGAGCAAGGCGGCCAGAAGGGTCTTGGAGGGTAACAAGCCAACATAATGAATGATGGTCTGTCACAATCGTGAATGGACGACCGTAGCGGTAACATCGAAACTTCTGAATGGCGAATACAGCCGCTAAACATTCTTGCTCTGTCACCGTATAATTCATTTCAGCCTTGCTTAGAGATCGACTCGTATAAACAACAACATGCTCTGCATTATGGCGCTGAACAAGCACACCTCCGATGCCAATTCCACTTGCGTCACTGTGCACTTCTGTAGTAGCAGAAGGATCGAAATGACGAAGAATAGGCTCAGATGTTAGAAATTTCAGTTCAGAAAATGCGGCATCACAATCAGGTGTCCAATCGAATGGGCTGTCTTTTCGCAACAAGCTCGTCAGTGGGTGTACTACGTCCGCCAATCGGGGCACAAAGCGGCAAAAGTAGGAACATAGGCCCAAGAAGCTGCGAAGTTCCTTCAGTGTCTGGGGTGGTTTGAATGTGCCGACAGCTTCGATTTTGCGAGGATCCGGCCTGACACCATCTTTGTCAACTAGGTGACCGAGGACTAAAGCTTGTCGTTCACCGAACCAGCACTTCTTAGAATTCACAATCAAGCCAGCCTTTCAGACACAGTATAAAGCAAGGCTTAAACGGACGTTGTGCCCTTCGAAGGTACGCCCAAAAATGACGACGTCATCCAGGTAGCATAAGTACACCTCCCATTTAAGACCACGAAGGACAGAGTCCATAAACCTTCCAAAAGTGGTGGGGGCGTTGCAAAGCCCAAACGGCATCACATTGAATTGGTACAGTCCATCAGGCGTCACGAATGCGGTCTTCTCCTTGTCTGAAGGGTGCATAGGTATCTGCCAATATCCCGATTTTAGATCTATTGAAGAAAAGTACGAAGCCGAGTGTAAGCAGTCAATAACATCGTCAATCCTAGGCAGCGGATATACATCTTTTTTGGTCACGGCGTTGAGTCTTCTGTAATCCACGCAGAACCGCCAGGCACTATCTTTCTTCTTAACCAAGATGACCGGTGCTGCCCACGGGCTACACGACTCTTCAACAACACCCCTCTTGAGCATTTCCTGAACCTGGTCGGCAATAACTTTTCAATCTGATGACGACACTCGGTAAGGCTTTTGTCGGATCGGATGGGCAGTGCTGGTGTCAATCCTATGGTGAGCGCGAGAACATGGTAAAGGTAGTGGCTTCTCCTCTTGGCAAAAGTCAAACACAGTAGCATGTCGCCCTAACAGATGGCGCAACGTCTGCTGGTCGTGTGACCGCAAAGTGGCGCTAATCATGCCTAGGATCTGCAACTCGTAAGAGCAACTGCGCTTGCCAGAGACTGTACCACTCTCGCTTTCATCGTTGTTAACGACCGCTACAGAACCTTCAGTGGAATCATCGAAGACGCCAAGCTTCATTCCTCGAGGGAGCACAACCGGCATTGGCGAACAGTTCAGTGCCCACAGAAAGGTTGCTCCTCCATCAACAGATACCAAACAACGAGGGACGAGTATGCCTTTTTTAAGAACATTGAACGATGGCAGGTTCAACGATGGCGTCAAAAGATGTGGCAGATTCTGGGCGAACACCGCAACTGACCTCATTGACCATGGCAGCACTGTTAGCTCATCGGAAACAATCAGAGCGTCCTTCGGGCCTGCGGCGCCTCTTCGATGAGGGCAGGAACAATGTCACCGCTGACGGAAAGTTCACCGCTTCTACAGTTGACGAAAGCGCCACATCCTTGGAGAAAGTCAAGACCGAGAATCACATCGTGGGTACACTGTTGCAGCACAAGAAACTGTTGGGAACACCTTTCCTGCCAATAAGACATTGACGGCACAAACTCCGACAGGATGAAGTACTTCCCCACCAACACCACGAAACCTTGTTGATTCGCCACAAGAAAACATAACTTTGCGGCCAATGCGACTTTTTAAAGAAAGACTCATAACTGATATCGTAGCACCAGTGTCCACCAAAGCACTTGTACAAAAGCCATCTATT